TATGGTGAGAGGTTGTCGAATGCCGTTAAATGCACTGAGGGTTTCTTTTCTGTTTGCCCGTCTTTGATTTGCATTGGACCGGTTAACACTTGCCTAGAGCTTAAAATATTTTCCCCTTCGGCTTCCATCTGAGCTTGTCATTTCTATTATTTCTTTTCATTACAGCTATGCTCTACGATATGTAAGATTGTTTTTGTTGACATTTGATAAGATTTTATAAGATTAGTGTGTATTCTACCGGTCTTACTCATTTCGGTCTTGTTGAGTTCAAAATAATCGGATTTTGTCGATCTTTTAACTCGTACAAAGTAGTCGTTTCAGTTGCCCTTATTCGGTTTAACCCGTCGTGTTTCACGCATTGTTATTGAGAGTGCTCAAAATGTGGTATTTTTGTATTCCTGATTCGATTTTCTCGACACTCGTTCAGGAACTGTAAATCAGCTGCGCATCCTAAAAACCAAAATCTATCACATCTCAGGATGCGTATTCGTTTAGTATACTCATTGTGTTTTCCGCTGTGTTCTCCTCACAGAATCACGACAGAGCTGGCTGTTGCGAGGACTGTGACCTATCGGACGAGATCTCGATCAGCGTGTCCGGTATGACACAATCTTATCCCACTTCACTCAGTGACATGTCTGGTGACTTCACTAGTCGCATGGACGATACGACCTCCCTAGGATTCGGTCATCATCATTCGCGTCGTCGTAAGACCCGACTGGACGAACGTGGTGCTGACGACACGGATTTGCTCAAGACAAGAGGTTCACGGCCATCCTCTGTGTCCGAGTTACTTGTTCCTCCCCGTTCGGAAGATGAAGATCAGGCTGATGGTGAGATTTGATTTTAATTCAATCTGTTTATGCTCGAGGGCAATCATTTATCGGACGTGCTACTTTGGTTATTTCGATCCACAGTATCGACCCATTACCGTGTTTTCATTCCCCTTTTTGATTTTCTGTGAGTTTACCTCTCTACAATCTAAACTCACGGTTTTATCTTCGTCTCACATCCGCTTACAACGTATCCTGTTATCAGTACTAATTGGAATGCGCGTCTCTGTTTTTCTATCGGGTCGCTCGTATTCCAGAAATGTTCCCGAAGATTATCCGCATCTGATCACAGCCCTTTTTCTGGTCTATCTCGAACATGTTCACGCACAGTTTTCATATGATAGGCAGCAGAAAGCGTAAACGTCATAGAAACAAGAGTCTACGACTCATGTTGTTAACCCGTCGCCTAAGCCCATGGGACCGGCCTGATGAATCACACTAGCCTACGATCAATATTCAGTTATGGATTGCGAACTTGTCTGCCGCCCATTATATAATGAATGCACCGTGTCAGCAGTACTCAGCTATTAGTTTACCCGAATACATAATTCTGATCAGAAGTTGATCCATTCCACCGGTATACAGGAAAAATCAAGGAGTCAGATTGTGTTCTTCTGTTGTATAGTTCTTTTATTTGTTCGCTTTCGTGGTAAATTTTGTATTTTGGCGATAACTTGGAAGCGATATGCGTTATTAAATGAAAACGAATGTTTAATTCTCTAATGGGTCGTTTACTACTTTAGTTGTGTCACTCCTCTTTTTCCATCAGAGAATCCTTTAATGAAAACCGATTTGGAGAAGCGAACCAGGCGGTTGGCCTCTCGTTTACCCTCCAACCTATCACTGAACAGTCTGTTGGACTCTTTGACTCCGTCCTCGTCCACCTCTTCGCTTTTGGGCACGACTGGCAAAGCTGATCTACCCTTTTCTATCCCTGAGCTCGTAAAACCACAGATTCCTCCTACTCCACCGCCTAGACGGTTTGCAAAATCGTCCTTAGACGACGGT